CATCTCTACTAAAAATACAAAAAAAAAAAAAAAATAGTCAGGTGTTGTGACAGTCCCTTGTAATCACAGCTACTTGGGAGGCTGAGGGAAGAGAATTGCTTGAACCCAGGAATTGGAGGTTGCAGTGAGCTGAGATTGCACCACTGCACTCCAGCCTGGGCAACAGAGTGAGACTCTGTCTCAAAAAAGAAAAACAAGTATATACTAAATCGAATTACTATTTCTTTTCATTTTATGCAATCTTTTAATGAAAATTATTTCATGGTTTATCGGCTTGTATCACATATAAATATTATTTGGAGTTGGAGTGCTATCTACTTGTAATTCAGAAAAGCTGAACAATATTCTTTATATTTAATTTCTCTTCAGTTATATGAATATCTTGACAGACTATGATTTTACTCATAAATTTCTTATAGAATATGTAACAGGGAACAAGAATAAGAAACATACTTGCTTATAAAATGCTTAGTTTTCCAAACTACGGGACAAAGATACGACATTTTCTTTCTTATAAGCCTTTTACATACATATTAAGAATCATTGTTGCATATTATTCATATTGAAGGCCTTAAAAAGAGCCAAAGTGAAAGGTATATTATATAAATAGTTAAGAAAAATTAATAATCAGCAATGAGGTCAGAGGCTACATATTATAAACTTATCTGCATGGAACCATCACTTTTGTTTCTAATCCTATAATCATCAGTGGAGAGGCTTAAGTTCCAGACACCACGGTGATAGCCAAGAAACTCAGGAATGTTTCCAATGATGAGAGGAAATAATTATTCTGGCATCCAAAGCAGCTCTATAATTCCCCATATTGACCAAGTACTTGTCTTTGGAAATATACTCACCATTAGAACAAAAATGTATGCTAGACAAGTTTTTGGTTATATAAAATGCAATATAATACCTCTGCAATGTTCATGTAAATCTCCTGAAGTAATGTCACAGACGCATAGTGGGGCTTATCACATGAACCAATATGCAACTAAACCACATTAAATACTAGATCATATGTTTATGTATGTTCTCAAAACTTAATTATGTAATACTGACTTTCTATGCTACTTAAACTCTGTTCTGTAATTAAACATTTAAATGATTTTAAGCTAACTCTGACTTTAACTTACAAGTAAAATTAGAGCTGTCAAGAGAAGTAATTCATTTCCTTATTTGACTTTTCAGTTTGTATGTGTTGTCCTTAATTTCCACTGATTTGTAAACACAGGACACACAGGAACCAATCTGAAGACTTTGTTGACTCTGAGGCAAAATTGGTCTTTGCAAAACGTGGAGTCTATAATGGAAAAAATTTTAAGTTAATCATAACTGCATACAGTATCATAAAATTCTACACAGACTAGTCCATTATTTGAAAAGCTCATCTGAAATTTTAAAAATACAGAAAAACTGACCCTTTTCATGTTTCCCTAACTCTATTATTAAAAGGTTAAGATATTATTTTTAAACAAGTGTGTCCCATTATAAAATGAATTTCACTGAACAGTACTGAAGGAATTTCTGCCATCAAGCAATAAAAAACCAAGTAACAAATACAAAACCCTTCACAAGGATACCTGGAATTTTAATGATTTGGCTGTATAATGATCAGAGGGAAAAAAAAAATCAGTGAACTAAAGCTATGAAACTAGGATCTGAATTGTTCTTTTAGACTGTATTATCAAAATCACTACATATTCATATGTAATAATATCCACTATAAAAAGCCCAAATGAAACTCTTGCCACACAAAGATACTTCTTAGTTATCTAAGTGTCTATCATAAAATCAAAGCACATATCATAGTGGCTAGCACAAAAGAATATTGTAAGATTAATCATTGTCACTCACTGACAATGGACTAGGAATACGTAAATTGAACCCAAATATGTAGGTACAAGGCGAGGTGCATTTTTTTTTTATGCTTCAACTTATAAACCTTCAGAGAACACAGCAGTGTTCACCCGTAAATCAAGAACTGTTTTGCTAGTCTAATCCTTTCCCTGAAGTAAACCAAGGACCAGAAAGAATTATAAACTGGAACCATATCATCAGTTTATTTTATTAAACCATGTTCTGGTACTGGACTTTAAAAGCACAAACTGCTTTTAGAGCACTTATATAAAACAGTCTGATTAACTTCCTATTCAGGAAGCTTTTGCTTATAACATTATAGTGTCTTCTTTTTGAGTTTGCATTACATAACTTTCTGATGTCTGTACCAGTAATAATTGCATATAATCTGAGTAGCTAATTTTTATGAGCAGTTATTTTTATTTTTTGAGAAAGGGTCTTCCACTGTCGCCCAGGCTGGAGTGCAGTGGCATGATCTAAGCTCACTGCAGCCTTGACCTCCTCCTGGGCTTAGGCGATCCTCCCACCTAGCATCCCTAGTAGTTGGGACTACAAGCGTGTACCACCATGCCCAGCTAATTTTTGTAGTTTTTGTAGAGACAGGGTTTCACCATGTTACCCTGCTCTTGAACTCCTGCACTCAAGCAATCCTCCCACCTTGGCCTCCCAAAGTGCTGGGATTACAGGCATGAGCCACCACGCTGGCCCAGTAAATCTTTCATCCTTCTTCCACTTCATGTTGCTAGACTGTAAGGCAAACATTACATTATCTTCACCTTACGTTTTGTAATCTTACTTTTCCTTTGTGTTACTTCCCCTCTACCCTCTTGTTTTGAAATTCTACTTCATTTCCCTTTTTCAAGACTTTGGGGTAGTATGTATATTAAAATATATATATATATATATATGTGTGTGTGTGTGTGTGTATATATATATATACCTCAAATATATATATATATTTTAAATATATATATATTTAAAAAAGAAAATTATGACAGTTCAATTTGTAATTCTGTATCAATATTATTTCACCACAAAAATGTTACTTAACTAGCAGAAAGCAGTTAAGTGCTATAATATATAACAAATATTATCATTTCTAAAGAACAATAAAGACGAATTTTATTTCAAGCTACATCCTAAATTTTATTCTGTAACATTTAACCACAAATTGATTTTAGGGGCTCAACATTTTTTAACAAACCGAAAGACAAGAGATGAAATAACACTCATAGCACATAGCATTAATCTGTAAACAGAGTTTTTCCTTAAAGGCAAAATGAGGAAAAGACATCCTCATTTCCTTTTTGAGGATGTCTGCTGCAATGGCCAGTCAGGAACATACATAGAAGGCATATATATGGACTTCACCAAAGCATTATCAGTGGTTCATTTAAAATTTTTTAAATTCACGAAGAAATGGAAAAAAATATTTGAGGGTGGTTGAATGATCATAAAAATGTTTCTGCTGAATAGAGAGAAATTTCTGGTAGCACACTCCAAGGCTTTTGGTCTTGATAGTCTTCTCTTTAATGTGTTTAACAATTATTTAAATGAAGCATTGAGAGGGATATTGGAGGATTAGTGATTAACAGCATGGACTTCAGAGTGAAAAATCTGCAGATGCACAATTCCTTTATATAAAGCAGTGTACTGTTTGCATATAACCTGTGCACATCCTCCTGTATACCTTCAATCATCTCTGAATAACTTATTATATATAATACAATACAAATGCTATATATAAAGCTGTTATACTGAATTGTTTTTTTATTTGTGGTGTTTTTACTGTTGCATTATTTTTGTGTTTTTGCTTTTGAGACAGGATCCCACTCTGTTGCCCAGGCTGGAGTGCAGTGGTACAATCTTCACTCATTGCAGCCTCGCCCTCCTAGGCTCAAGTGATCCTCCCATCTCAGCCTCCCAAGTAGCTGGGACTACAGGCATGCACCATCACACCCAGCTAATTTTTGTATTTTTTGGTAGAGAGGGGTTTCGCCATGTTGCCCAGGCTGGTCTCCAAAGCGTGCTGGGATTACACGTATGAGCCACTGCACCCAACCAAAATTTTAAAATATTTTCAGTCTGTAGTTAGTTGAATCTGAGAATGGGAAACTCACAGATATGGAGAGCCAACTGTGCATCAGGACACAAAGTTGCCAAAAGGAGGTAAAGCCCTACTGCTTGTGACTTCTGACCAAAAACTCTCCCAAGCCCTTCAATCAGAGTGTCTCCCACTGCCATGAAATAGAGGTAAGGGTGGAAGGACCACACAATCCCGTGTTGTTCTGTAATAACAAGGATCTTAACAACCAAAAAAAAATAATTTTGCAAGTTCACCACTTATCTTTGTCTTTATATTACTATCAATGCTAAGTTTATACTGCCGTTAGACTTCTGCTGTTAGACATAATGATCTCAAATATTTAATTGAAAAAACTTAAGTATCCACAATTTTTTTTTTTTTTTTTTTTTTTTTTTTTTTTTTTT